TAAGCTTTTTGAGTAACCTTATAGTTTAGTATAGTTATAGGTTACTTTAATTAGACTTTTATATTGTTATACTACAATTGTGCAATAGTATATAATCAAATCCAATGTATATAAATAGCGATATTCTTGTAAACAGTAATTAGCATTCTTGGATAGAGTTTAGGAAGTACTTCTTTGATTTAGTGGAAATAGAGGATATTTCAGAGGATCATTGTATACTGGTACACTGGTTAGGAAGATACTTGCTTGTATCGCTTATATTTTTTAGTACATTTTAGTATCTTGTGCGTAATAATAAATATTTGGTTTTTTATCTTTAAAGTTTATAACTCTAAGTTAAATTGATCGAGTTATAAGAAAAGTCTCTCCCTGGTCGTAACATTTTTGGTGCCGATTGTGTGGAGTAAACAAAGAAGAGCAAAAGCCGAGATCGTTTTGTGCTAAAACAAATTTAAATAAGTAGATTGATCAAAAGCCAAATTCACACTGTGTTAAGGAAAAAATTGTTGTGTAGATTGAGCACAAACCGAATTCGTTTTGTGTTGAAATAATAATAATTGAACAAACTGAATTCGTATTTTGTTGAGTTAAAATTGAATAAGGGAAGACCAAATTTACGTTTCTGGTTTTAGCGTGACAGCGTCACGCAGCTACCTTATACGTAAAATGACGATCACTGCATTTGACTGACTATTTCGATTTTATCAAGGAAAAATAGTCCAAACCGAGTTTATACACCTTTTACATTTTCAATGCCATTACAAATAAAATCGATTTAAAAAAATCGATTATAGAAATAAAGCGAAATTTAAATAAAGATTTTGCCAAAAGAATAAAATTAAACGCAAATGAATTCACGGCAAGTATCTATATCATATTCTTTATCACAACTAGTGCTCCGATCGGGTTGACCCGAACAACCTGAAACCAACCCGATAATAATAGATTTACTATATGGGTCATGATCCACCTAATAGATTTATTATAACCGGGTTGGTTTCGGGTTGTTCAGGTCAACCCGATCGAAGCACTAATCACAACGCATAGCGCTAGATTTTTTATGATGATAATTTGAATGTCAAATGATGCTCTAGAATTAAAACCCGCTTGCATAAGAATCATTCATTTTCCGAATACTACATGATATTTAAATACCCCTTACATAAGAGTAATCCAATTTTTCTTCTGCAAGTCTAATAATTTAAATCCACTCTTATATAAGAATAATTCAATTGATCGATTACTTCTAGCCTACAGATTTAAAATCTTTGGTACAAGAGTAAATTGATTGGCTGAATACTTCTTGATGTGAGGCCTCTTTTAATATACTGTAGTTTGTTTGGTCAATGCTTCTTGTTGCGAGGCTTACTAATTCTTCAGGGGGCTCATACATTTGATTCATTCATTACTGAAATTTGTAACTCGTAAAGATGTTAAAGTATAAATTGCAAAATTGTATGTATATATATTTTTTTTAGAACGATTTCAAAATCTTAATAAACATGATTGAAGAAACCTAAAGTAAAAATTCATATGTAAAATATGGCAGATTTATTGAAGATTGTGCCAAAAATCTAGGATGGCACGAACTTTTAAGCACATCAGTATATAACCCTTTACGACTTATAGTAGCGAAGAATCAGATTATAAATAAATTTTTACAGTATGATATATGATATCTAAATTAACATTAATTATTATTATTATTTTTTTTTTTTTAAACCTGCTTGATCGCAGGACGCCGGAAGGCGTACTTTATTAACTCATTTTATTACAGGGGATCTTCATTTAAAAATTACATGAGTTAACTATCTATATATTGATATATTAACTATATTTAGTTAATCCTATTCTTCCAACCGGATTTTACCGGATGACCCAATTACAACCGGGGGATTTTACCGGAACTGTCCTTTTCCTTGATTTTTCGACCGGAGTTTCACCGGAGGTGTCCTTATTTCGTATTTCTTGCGGCGTCCCAATGAGAATCTGTGGCTGAACTTCAATCGTGATCCTAGCACCTCCAGTATAACTCGAACCGGCAACCCTTGCAATTGGAGACCTGGGAGCGCAACCACTACGCTATCAACCCACGGGTCACATTAATTATTAAATTAGCTGCAATACAAGAATGTGAAAATCGTGGCTCGAACTTTACCAAGAATGTCATTAAGTTCTAATAACTTGATTCTCTCTGGAATATTGGATATCCCTACTCTGATAAGTGAAAACACTCCAACAATTATGAAAGCTTTGAAAAAGAAGAAATTGTGGAAATTAGTTAAAGAACCTATAGAGCTTTTATCGCTACTGGACGAAGTAGAACAATTTGTTACAAAGTATATTGAACGTAAAAATAAAAATATTAAAATACCAAAAAAACATACGTCTTTATTTGCTAGAATTAAAAATTTAGTTAATTCAATGTAAGCTAAACGTATCTGTTTATATTATATTAATGTTTATCTCTAGTGACCTAAAATTTTAATTATAAGAACTAGATTATGAAAAAATCCCGAATATCAAACATGTTGACCAAATATAAACGAATCCACTTGTGACATAATGTATTAAAACCTATCATCAATTTTATTGAATATGGTAATTTACGACTTTAATTTATTTATAAAATATAGTGGTTAAAAGTATTTTTTTTTTTTTGTATAGGGATGCAATCACTAGTCAAGCAAGCTTAGATAGAAATAATAATAAAGGTCCATTAAAAAATACGATAACATCTGATTGGTGGTGTTTTTATTAGCTCTTTTTAGCTCTTTGTTGATATTTTCAATTTTAGCTTTATTGTCTTTTAAAATAATAAAGGTTTGAAATAGTAAGTTTTTCTTATCCATATATTTAAAGTAACTCATAGATTATTTATATTAATTATAATTTTCGGTTCGCATCACTAATGGATACATTTTATTTCCATCAAGCATGAAAGACACCAAAAATCAAAAAACATCAAAGAAAAATTTGACAATTGATGGTATCTGCTAAATTTGATTTTCAAATATGTATTTTACATTAAGAAAATAAATAAAATTCAAAATTGAATATTTTTTTTTATTTGTTATATAATATAATTCAATATCGATATTTTTGATAATTTAAATTTTATTATTCGAACCCAGTTTATTTTCTGACGGCCCTTAGTTGCCGTCGGAGAATGAATTGAAACATATATATAAAAGGTAGTTTCATAGGGTTTATGAATTTGGGCTAAATTAAGGCTTAATTTAGGTAGAACTTAATAACTGAGCCATGATTTAATAGATATGAAAATTACATGAATTAATTCTGCCCACACTATGCTTAAATGATGCAATGGATGCGAATTATGTAATTATATCTCTCAGAATCTATCTTCGTCAAATCACTTATCTAACAATCACAATCTACGCACGTGATTTTTATGTTCAATTTTATGATGCAAAAAAATGGTGAATCATGCGCTTATTGATATTGATATGGACACTAATGCTAATTTTGTATTAGCGTTAGGATACAGTATTGTAAAATAATTTTCTTATGTGTTGCACACGTCTTATGTCTTTAAACTGGTGTCTTGGTTCACAATTTACAAGGCATGAAAATAAAGTTTTGTAATCTTTGTAATCATTCTTAAGGCATTCAAATATTTCGTTTACTAATAAAATTCTTCATTGAATAGATATCAAGACTCCATCAGAAGTGGTCATATATAAGAAGTTCATTAAAATTTGCTATTGGTACCTAAGTAATTTCTTCGAATCAATATCTTATTTCGTTAAAGCACTTCTATTGCCAACAAAGGAAGCAATGGAAGCTGCCAAAGTTGTTGAAATATGCTTGAAAGTTTTTTTTGGTTGAGCTTATAAATTTATAATAATTAGTTTAGAATTTGGCATAAAAATTATTATTCATTTAATGGAAAAGCTCGTTTATTTTATTAAGAAGCAAGTTAGATCCAAGGCTATGAAAATACTCGACTCAGGATGTCTCCAACCACAGAACTACTTCAAGAACACCTCCAAAAATTCTATGCATCACCAATTAGATTTTGAGATCAAGTGAAGTCATGCACTTTTTAAAAGAAATCTTTTGTAGTTCAAAATCTTGCCTATGAAACTGCCTTTTGCATTCTAATAAAAAAAATTTCTCGTCAAATTTTGGTATATGTCATATTCTAATCTTGGTTTTTACGTTACGCCTAATCTTGAAATCTGATTGGTGATGCATAGAATTTTTGGAGTAGTTCTCCAACACCTAAAGTCCACGTAATTTTTCACCTACTTAATTTATACGAGTATTTTTGATTACGATCATTTTTAAGTCGTTAGTTTTTAAAGCTTCCAAAATAAATTGCATTACGTATCAATTCTCTAATTCAAGTTGCATTTTTATTGGTTGCATTTTTATTGATTATATTAGCAATAATTATCAAGACAAACAGGTAAATTAAACTCGAGACTAAATTGTATAAAATATTGATCATTCGATGAAAAATTTTTCATTATATGATCAATATCGATGTTTGCAAAATTTTTTGTCGTGATACTTCGCATATTTCATTTTATGACAAAAATATCGGGGCAAAAAAATTCACATAATATTACACGAACGATAATATGAATTATTGTTCACAATAGATGTATTACTAATCGAAGTTCTAAGATAGAATTATTATTAATTTATTCCGCAAAAGTTTTTTCCATTTTAGTAAAAGCAATTTATTATTTTTACAAAATCATTCTATTTTAGTTTAGAAAAAAAGAATTCTTGAAAATGTGTAGCATTATTTTGGGACATACACAGGGAATTTACGAATTTTTACTCAGTGTACGCCACATGTTGATATACTCGACCAAATATTTAATAAAACCAATAATCAATCCAAATTGGCTAAAAATTTTTAAGTTAAATAAAAGAGATTCACTGCTATAGTTGAATTCTAAAATCTTAAATTGCGTATTAAGAAAAATAATAAACATTACAACTAATACTAAACCAAGAACAATGAAAAATACAATTTTTCCAGGTTCTTTGGGAGAATTGCTGATGAATATGGTGTTTGTAACAGTAGTTCGGTTATCTACACGCGTTCCAAATCGGTTTGGTTGTAAGTTCTGGTTCGAATCATTGAGTAGTCCCGTTATCCACACGAGTGTCCTGGTTCGGATTATTGATCATTATCAGTCCAAATTTTTTTAAAATTTCTGAGCAACGACTACAAATGTCTTCGGAATTAACGGAGGTAATTCCAATCATCTGAATAAAGTTATCCTTGCAGCGCTTGCAAATTTTGATATTGTCTTTCACGTCTTTAAAAAGGTTATCAATGATCTCTGAGCAACCGTGGCATCTTTGAAAATTAGAATTCACCAAGCTCATCATACAACCATAACAAACATTTCTAAGGGGGTAATCTATTTCCGTACCATTGATCCTATTAGTATTTTGTGGAGGAGGTGCCTCTGGGCGATTGTTAATAACTCCCAATTGCGGATTGGTGATATGAAAAGCTAAATCTTGTTGCTGAATTCGAGGAAACTGATTTGAAACAATTTGCTGAGGAGGAAACACCTGTTCTTGAGTTTGCCCAACAACGTAGTGTCTGCTTTGAGGCTGGTGTATATTTCAGCGGATACTAACATTAGAAGGATGTTGTTGCATTAGTTGCTGAGCCTGGTTGAACTGAGGAACAATTTCAAGTCTATTCTGATCAGTATGTTGAGCCTCAGTAGTAGACGCATTAAAAGTAAGCTGTTGGTGTTGTTCATATTGGTAAAGAATTTGTGGTGGTGAAGAGTTATTGTATTGTAAACAAGATTGATAGTTTATTATTAATTTATATGGACTTCCAATTACAATATTAAGTGGATATATCTTAAAATACAACTTTATTGAATAAAAAAATGTTTACAAAACTAAGATTTCGGATTTAGATATATGAATTTTTGAAGAAAAAATAACTAAAGTTCTTAGTTGTCTTCGTAACTTTTTAGTCCGTAATTATAATATGGTCACTTCGTATTATAAATAATGAATACATTAACATAAATTTAAAAAATGAACTACTTTCTGAGCTCATGGAATTATTGAATATGTACTTTATAACAATTCAATAAAAGAGAAAAGCTTTTATTAGTTATCACCGCATACTTTATTTTTATAATTGCGCAACATTATGGACCTGGACCATTCGAAGGGATCTATATGCTCGACACAACCTTATAACCATTGTCTATGTTTAACGATCTAAATGATTGTTTAAACTCTTTAAATTGCATTTGTTTCGTGCAAATATGATAATCGGTTTAACTATGTTGAATACTTATACACCTCGATTTTATACCCATGATATAGTTTTTTTCTTTAATTGCGTAATTTATTATATAAAATATATGAATCAATACATTCGAAGCATCATGTGATAATTCAAAAAGAAGTTCAAAAAAGGACAGAAAAATAAAGCAAAAATAAAGCTCTTATCAGAATATTAATTATATGAGAGAATAAAGCAACTCTCAAAATGTGAAGTTCATCATATAAGAGTGTAAATAATGTATGCGCTAATATATAAATTAAAAAAATAAAAATAATAAATAAAAATGAACGGCTCTCTGAGCTCCATTCAAAAAGCTGGCTCTCTGAGCTCCAGCCAGAAGTCTAAAGAAATAATAATTGCTGTTTGATAAAAAAATTACAATGGTAGAAGTTTTACTTCTCTAAATTCACATAGTCTAAAGTCTAGC